GTAGCCTAGATTCTGCAATGGGTATGTGAGCAAGGCTCCTCTGTCAGAACCCCTCACCTTATCCTCCCAGTTCTCTAAAGGAACACCATGGTCAGTGTGTAGACTGTGCAGCCCTGGCCATGCTTCTCCTATCAGTTACAATTTGAATGCCCTCCTGCTTGAGCCAGGGGCTCCTCTCTCCTAAGCCAACTTCAGAGTAGATTCATTGGTGTATAAGGTGTACCAGCTTGCTTGTCAGCTAGCAGTCTACCTGAGCTTGTTGCTCCTCTGGCCCAAACTACTGTCTGGAAAATTTCTAGATTCTGTCAAATGTAGAAGCCACACCCATAAGCTCTTGACCCATTTTTTGATCATGACCTTAATACTTAAGGCTTTGCTCTCGCGCACGTGATTGTGTGTGTCCTGTGCACTGTCCCTGAGCTCTTCAGCTCAAGGTGAGTGCTCTACCACTTGAGCCACAGTGCCACTTCTGGTTTTCTGGTGGTTAATTGGAGGTAAGAGTCTTACAGACTTTCCTGCCTGGGCTGGCTTTGAACTGGGATCCTCAGATCTCAGCCTCTGAGTAGCTAGGAATACAGGCATGAGCCACCAGTGCCAGTCTGATTTTTTTTTTTTTTTTTTAAATCTCTTTGTCTGGTTTTTGGTCTCCATATGACTCACAGAGGCTCTGCCAGTAGGCAGAGAACAGGAAAGAAGGAGGCCACACACATAGCTATTTGATGGTGGTCTTGTTGAAAGGAGCAAGGTTAAAAATTGCTGGTCTAGAGTGACAGTTGGGCATCATTTATTCTCCAAGCAACAACAGAACAAAATGGTCAAAACCATTGGCTTTTTATGTTCTTAGATTGCTGAAATAAGACTCAAGTGGAATTTATCCTATGCAGAAGTCCAGGTTTGTTCCCAGTAGTATATTTGGTCTGGGACAAGCAAGACTTCCTACCAAACTAAGAACAGGCAGAGTTCAGGAAGAAAGAACAGAGCATAAAGGTTCTTAGTGGTCTCAGGGCTTCCTGAACACAATGGGATCAGCAGAAGAATGATGATCAAACCACAAGAAATTTAACATTATTCAGTGTTTGAATGGCTTTGAAAATCCAATACTGTACAGGTTTCCTGTTTTTCCTATGATCACTCTGTTGCCCCAATGGAGTATAATGAACTAGTTCATTGTAGAACTTCACTAGTGGGCTTTAACCAACTAAACTATGGCTTTAGATGCTGCATTTACTCCCACTTGTCTTCCCGATCCATTAGCCCTCTGAGGTAGGTACCTTTACTTCTGTATTTAAAAAAATGCTGGGAGAGATTTTACCACTTGTCAAAGTGATTTGCAGATTGTTCAGACTCAGCTGCTTGGCTCCAAAGTCTCAGCTCTCACTTCTGAGTCATGACAGGTTTTCATAAACAAAACAGAACTTCGTGATGAAATGTTACAGAATAACAGGATGAGGCACTGATCTTTGATAAGAAAATATTAGCATTTTCTCTCCCCTTGTTAGGAAGGAGGCCATGGTTGGAAATAAATGAACGTAAGGTTGAGACATGAAATCTGCCTGAAAGCTTCCTTCAGTTGCCTTAGGTAGGGCTCTGCCTCATTCTCTACACCATGAAGTTAACTGATAGAAGCCAGGCATTTCACAACTTCTTCATATTTTGGGGGGATAATACTGGGGTTTCACACATAAATCCAGTAACACTGATGTCCTCCTAAAAAGAGAGACAGATATAAGTATAATGGGTAACCATAGGAGGCAGAACTGCCCGCAATCTGCAGAAGCTGAAGAGACAAAGGATTCTCACTTGAGCCTTCCAAGGAAGCGTAGCCCTAGCAAGACCTTGCTTTTGTACCAGGAAATAAAACTGGGATCTATCTATCTATCAATCATCATATAGGGTCTTAGTTGATGGCTCATACCTGTAATCCTAGCTGCTCAAGAGGCTGAGATCTGAGGATCGCAGTTTGAAGCCAGCCTGGGCAGAAAAGTCCATGAGACTCTTATCTCCAATTAACCAGCAAAAAGTTATAAGGGGAGCTGTGGCTCAAGTGGTAGAGTGGTAACCTTGGGAGAAAGGTTAATGAGATTCTTTTTCAATCCACATCTGGTCACGATGACTTATACCTGTTATCCTAAACTATGCGAGAGGCTGAGACTTGGAGGATGGCAATTCCAGGCAAATCCTCCATGAAGAGAACTTGATGGCCCATTCCTGTGACTCCATCTCAACACTGCCTGGGAGAGGAGGCATAATGGCTGGGCACAATGACAAGTCTGTCATCCCCAGTGAAAAGCACAAGCAGGACTGCCTTGCAGGCTATGGCGTAAAACAAGCCACTACCTCAAAAAAAACACAAAAAGGTGCCAGAGGCAAGGTTCAAGTGGTACAGTGCTGACCAAAGTGTGTGAGGTCCTGAGTTTAATCCTTAGCTCTGGGAAAAAAAAAAAAAGCAATTGTTAGAGCTGGGAATGTGACTCAATGGTAGCGTGCTTGCCTCACATGCATGAGGACCTGGGTTCAATTCCTCAGCACCATATAAACAGAAAAGGCTGGAAGTGGCGCTGTGGCTCAAGTGGTAGAGCACTAGCCTTGAGCTGAAGAACTGAGGGACAGCGCCCAGGCCCAGAGTTCAAGCCCCACGACCAACAACAAAAAATGCAAATGTTAAAATGAACTTGGCATCTGTGTATTTCTTTCAATAGACATTAATAGTTGTGCAAAAAAGATTATCCTTTATTTAGGAGTTTAGAACGAACATTTCTTACCTCCCAGAGTTCAGGTTATGATACTGGAGTATGAAGGAATCTCAAAGCTTGTTGGAGGCTAAGGAATTCCTGTGTGGCACATTTTACCTCTCTTGGGCAGCTACTGGCCAGAAACCTCTATTCCTACTCTCATCCCTGTAGGTTTTCAATGACATGAAAGCTGGATTCCCTGGACTTATAATCCAAGAGAAAAGGAAGAGAAGCCCAACATGGTGGCACATGCCTTTAATCAACTTCTCATGGAACTCCGGAGGCTGAGACAGAAAGATTGGACTTTGCAGCTAGTCTTGCCTAAACAAGGCTAGAGCCAATCTCAACCAGAAAAAGAGTACCTGAGATGAAACGCTCTTCAAATCTAACCTTGGCAAAGATACACCAGCACTTCTGCTGTATGTATATGTGCTACTGGTCACACGGACCAGCCACAGTCCATGGTGGAAGGTGACTATTAAAGAGGGTGAATATCAGAATCATTGGGACTTGTCTTGGAGGCTGTCAGTAGCTGTGGAATCTAAGGTTCTAATATCCCATTGTAAAATGAATCTCTCAGGTTTGTCTGTTTAAGCTGGCTTTGAACCACAGCCCTGAGGTCTCAACTTCCTGAGTAGTTAGGATTATAGGTATGAACCATAGGTGCTCAGCTACAACTACCTTTATGGTGAAAAAATAATTTAAGATATTGTATAGGGGTTGCTTAAAATTTTTTTTGAGGGTAAGAGAATAAAAGCTTGAACCATGGAGTTAGAGCACTATTTTTGTTTTTTTGGAGACAGGGTCTCAATGTGCTTCAAGATCCTCCACCTCAACCCCTTTGGCTTGTGTTACCCTCTCTAGAGGGCCAGTTTTACTAGTCCAGTCTTCCACTGGCTCTTTATCTCCCCCATGTGGTGCTCTTTTATCTTGAAGGTATAGAGAACTGACAATGGAAAGATGAACCTCAAATTACAGTTATTAATTTGGGTTCTGATTTGTGAAAGGGAAAAATGACTTGAAATCTGGGCTGCCACTAAAAAAACCTGTTTTCTGTTTTCTAAAAAGTGACCAGGAGCTTTAAAAAAGATGACATTAAACCCAGGGCTGTGGGGGGCACTAAACAAAAGAATGTACAGTCTACTAGAATCATAAGCTGCACAGTTGGATGCCTAGCGAATATAACATTCCTAGAGTTTATAACAACAAAAAGCCAGAGCCTTCACATCTTTATGGAATACAGTTATATATAATTTGAAAAGGTGAAATCCTCTTTTGAGGATTTAAGTATATCATCAATGAATACTTAAATGATTAAGTATGGATAGTTAATGAAGGCATTTTACATCTTACGTGTGTGTACGGAACAGATTCAGCTAACTTATGTAAAAAGCCGGTAACCTAAAAATGCTTTGATTTGGCTGGGGTATCCTACAATTAACATAAATACGTTTTTCCCTTGGGACTTGACCAGCACTACCATTTTGTTCCTAACACGTTTCCATTTCATAGTAATGACTGTCTCACTGTCGAGGAGTAAACGTATTAGGCTCTCTCTGTATAAACAACATAACTCAGACATCCCAGCTGGTGAATATCTTATTCAGCACTATAAATACTCAAGTACACAGAGCTAAAATGATGCAAAGCATCGCACAGCACAAGCCGCACTGGGAAACTTCCAGCCCGGGCGAAACGGACCGAGTAGAGCGGGGAATGCGGCGGGTGGGTGCAGGGCTCAGCCGCAGGGCTCGGGAGACTCCCCGTGCCTCGCGAAGCCCGGCGCTCCCGGGCCCCGCCGCCCGAGCTGGAGCCCGACCCGCGAGGTCTCCAGCAGCGGGCGGGGACCACGGTCCCGGGCGGCCCCCACCCCCAGGACCGCAGCTGGCTCCGAGGGGTCCTCCGGCGCCCCGGGACGCGGCAGCGGGACCCCGGTCGGGACTGCAGCGCCTCAACGACCCTAACCGTACTTGGGACGCCAAGATGAAGGGGGCAGGCCTGGCGCGTGAGCTCCCGCCTTCCCCGCGGTCACTCGGGGACGGGAGCGAGGCCGGGCGGGGTCGAGTCAGGACGACGGGACCCGAGGCCACGCAAGCGCCGGCGGAGCTCGGGCGGGGCGGGCAGAGCGCGGCCGGGGTGCGGCTGGAGCCGCGGCGGGGCGGGGACTCCCGGCGTGCCTCGCGGCGCCCGGCTTCCGGCCGTGGGCGGTGCGGGGTCGGCGGCGGCCGGAAGTGGGCTGGGCCGGCTTCTCCGGGCGCCGCCCGCACTTCCGGGTCCTGGATCCCCGCGGCAGGAGTTCCCGGTAGGCGGTGCGGGAGGAAGAGGAGTCTGCGGGGCCGAGCCGGGCCGGCGGGTCCTCTCTCCTCCATGTGAGCGGGCTCCGAGCCCCCGTCAGGCGAAGCTGTCCCGAGGAGGGAACATGAGGCGGTGTCTGCTCTTCCTGACCAGCCTCGCCCCGCTGGTGCTGGCGCCGCGACCTCCGGACGCCGCGGGCCCCGGCTCCCCCCAGCGACTTGGTAAAGAACGGGGGGCGGCGGGGGTCCCCGGCGGGCGCGGGGAGCGCGGCCTGGAGGGGGGACGGCGGGGGCCGCGCCGGCGCTCGGGCGGGTGCTGGGCGCGAGGGCGCGTCCCGGGTCTGGGCAGGAAGGGGGTGTGGCTCCCCAGCTCGGGGCCGGCGGGGTCCCCTCCGCTGGCCTGCGTCTCTGCGGCGTGCTTGGGGAGCTCCTGAGATGTAGGTCCCCGCGTTGCCAAGAAGATGGGGTGTGTGCCGAAGGCGGCCGGGGCGGGGAAGAAGCGCCGCGAGCGCCTGCGAGAAGGTCTCCCGGAGGAGGCCGCGCGGCGTCCGGCGCACGGCGGCCGCGGGCTGGGCTTTCCGGTGCCTCTTCTGACAGGACTTGGAGCTTGGGGACGTGTCGTCCCCCGCCGCCCCTCCGTCGTCGGGTGGAAGTTGGTTGGAGGCACTTGGGGGAGAGGGCGCGGAGGGAGGCCGACACTCGACCTTTCAGTCGCGCGTGTGAACATCTGGTCAGGGACGGTCATCTGTGAGCCTCGCCAGGAGGCGATTCCTGTGCAATTGTGTTTTCTAGAGGGCTCGTGTTCAGAGTTGTAAAGTTAGGTGGAAGTTACTGTGACTTTACTCTAAGCTGACTTGTAAGACAGTTTGGTTAATCAATCATAACACAGTGTGAAACAGTATACTTTCCATTGTGTGAAGCTGTAGTATTAATACATTTTTCATGGTCCTCAGTATAACACGGTTTTACATGAGTGTTGTTCCGTGCAGTTTGAGATCCTTCGGATTTTATGGCTAATTAATTTTCTCGCATCAGTTATTGCCTGGCATTGGAGCTGTAATTAACTGATAATAGGTAGTAAAGATGTTGAATGTTCTCGCCTTAATAACTGTTTTGTGGTGGTGCCATTTGAAATGGATTATAAGTGTTTAAGGAGAGAAAGGAGCTAGTTAGGAAGTGCTGTGACCGGTGAATTAGCCATGGCTAACTCAGGATGGATGAGCATCATTTTAAGAATAACAGTACCTAAGAGAATAAACATGCATTTCTCCACTCTGAAAAACTATGTTACATGTTTTCATTCTCTTGTTCACAGGTGAAAAAGTTAACGACTCTTAGAGAACTATACTCTGTAGAGGAAAAAACACTATATGATATCAACTTTCAGCATCATATGCAGATTTTTTTTTTTTTTTTGTCAGTTGTGGGGCTTGAACTCTGGGTCTGGGCCTTGTCCCTCAGCTCTTCAGCTCAAGGCAAGTGCTCTACCACTAGAGCCACAGCACCACTTCTGGTTTTCTGAGTGGCTTATTGGAGATAATAGTCTCATGGACTTTCCTGCCCTGTCTGGCTTTGAAGTGTGATCCTAAGATCTCAGCCTCCTCCTGAGTAAATAGAATGACAGGCATGAGCCACCAGTACCGGGCCAGATCATATTTTTAATTAGCAGATTATTTGTGCCAGAAAAATGTGTGTAGACTTAGCTATTCATCGAAAACATTTGAAGTGCTGCATTCAGGTGGCTCATGCTGTAATCCTCGTCACTCAAGAGACTGAGATTGTAGTTTGAGGCCAGGCCTGGCAGAAAAGTTGACTAGACTCCATTCCAAGTAACCAGCAACAAGCAGGATTGGAGGTATGCCTCAAGAGGTAGAGTGCCAGCCTAGCAAGGCCTTGAGTTCACACCAGAACAACAACAAAATAACCCCAATTGTGTGCTCAAGTTGTTATACGTGGCATTGGAAATAAAAAGACCATCTTAAAAAGATTTATGAAAGGGCTGGGAAGGTGGCTCAGTGGTAGAGCGCTTGCCTTGCATGCATGAGGCCCTGGGTTTGATTCCTCAGCACCACATAAGCAAAAAAGAAAAAACCCTGAAGGGGCGCTGTGGCTCTGTGGCTCAAGTGGTAGAGCGCTAGCCTTGAGCTGAAGAGCTGAGGGACAGCACCTAGGCCCAGAATTCAGGCCCCACGACCGGACCAAAAAAAAAAAAAAATTTATGAAAGAGTAAAATAGAGACTCATACAGAGATCAGAACAGATACTCGCAAAACAACATGGAAGAGAACATTTGGGTACACTATACCATTAAAGGGGGGGGGCACTGAATACAATCTAGGAAGGTAATGACTTCCTGGGAAAGGTGATACTTGAACCTAGACTTTTAAAACTAGATTGGGGGTGGGGGGAGTGGCTCAAGCAGTAGACTACCTGCTTAGCAGGAATAAAGCTTGAGTTCAAACCCCAGTAAAGTAAAACATGAATCTCTGTGAAATTCACAAAATTAAGGGATAACAATGTTCCATAAGAACTGCACTCATTATCATACTTATTGTAATTGTAACTCCTCTGTTCATCACCTTTACAATACAAAAAAAAAAAAAGAGAAAAAACCTAGATAGGGCCAGGTGCCAGTGGCTCATGCCTACAGTCCTAGCTAGGAGTGTGAGATCTGAGGATTGTGATTCTAAGCCAGCCTGGGCAGGAAAGTCCATGAGACTCATCTCTAGTTAATCACAGAAAAAATGGGAAGTGGCGCTGTGTCTCAAGTGGTAGAGTATTAGCCTTAAGCAAAAGGAGCCCAAGGACAGCACCCAGGTCCAGAGTTCAAGCCCCAGGACCAGGAAAAAACAAAAGCAAACCAAAAAGAACCCTAGATAGGTAAAAATGGAAAATGATGGCAGAGCTGGGAACTGTTCCAACTTGCACTGATGGGAACCTTACAGGATGATTTTTTTTTTCTGTGCTAGGAACTGAACCCAGGGTCTTGCATATAATATATAGGTGCTCTACCATTGAACAACGTCTTCAGCTTTATTTTTTTTTTTAAATGTCAAGAAAATGGGTCACTGTTTCAGGAAAATCCAGTGAATTATATATATACCTTGTAGGTGTCTTCTTTTTTTTTTGGTGTATGTGTGACAGTGGAGGATGTTATTTATCATTGAACCCTCCTATTATATAGACTGAGTTAGTCAAGACCAACTCAATAGTTCATAGTTGAAAGCTATTTTATTGAATCTGCTTTATTGTTTTTTAGTCTACTTGCACTGTAATACTGTAATTGCATAACTGATATTGATTAGGAATGTGACTTTTTTGAAAGGCAAAAATATATCAAAAATCTGTTTCAGCTGGGCACTGGTGGCTCACACCTGTAATCCTGGCTACTCAGTAGGCTGAGATCAGAGGATCCCGGTTCAAAGCCAGCCCAGGCAGGGAAGTCCGTGAGACTGTTACCAGAAATCCAGAAGTGGTGCTTTGGCTCAAGTGGTAGAGTCAAGCCACATGACCAAAAACCCCACAAAAACGGGGCTGAGAAGGTGGCTCAGTGGTAGAGCGCTTGCCTTGCATGCTTGAGGCCCTGGGTTCGATTCCTCAGCACCACATAGGCAAAAAAAGAAAAAAACCGCAAGTGGCGCTGTGGCTCAAGTGGTAGAGCGCTAGCTTTGAGCTGAAGAGTTGAGGGACAGCGCCCAGGCCCAGAGTTCAGGCCTGACGACTGGACCCAAAAACAAAAAACAAACAAAAAACCCCACAAAAAACAAAGCAAAACAAAAATCTGTTTCAGGGCTGGGAAGGTAGCTCAGTGGTCGAGTGCTTTCCTTGCCTGCATGAGGCCCTGGGTTCAATTCCTTAGAACTACATAAGCAGAAAAAGCTGGAAGTGGAGCTGTGGCTCAAATAGTAGAGCACTAGCCTTGAGCTGAAGAGCTTAGGGTAGCACCCAGGCCCAGAGTTCAGGCTCCATGCCCGTAAAAAAAAAACAACCAAAACACTGTTTCAACTTAACTGTAAGAATTGCATAATTTAGGAAAATTGTGAGTCATGAGACCTAAGTCATTATTATATCTTATTGAAGTTGCAGCTGGCGGGGGGGTACAAGTCTCATTTTGATTTTAAAATTGTTTTTCTTTCGTGTTTCTTTTATTTATTTATTTATTTTTAATTTTTTTTTTTTTTGGGTCCGGTCGTGGGGCCTGAACTCGGCCTGGGCGTTGTCCCTCAGCTCTTCAGCTCAAGGCTAGCGCTTTACCACTTGAGCCACAGCGCCACTTCCGGCTTTTTTTCGTTTTGCTTATGTGGTGCTGAGGAATTGAACCCAGGGCCTCAGGCATGCAAGGCAAGCGCTCTACCACTGAGCCACCTTCCCAGCCTCATATATTTTTTTTTTTTTTTGGCCGTGGGGCCTGAACTCTGGGCCTGGGGGCTGTCCTTCAGCTCTTCAGCTGTAGACTAGCACTCTACCACTTGAGCCTCAGCCCCACTTCCAGCTTTTTTTGCTTATGTGGTGCTGAGGAATCGAACCCAGGGCCTCATGCATGCAAGGCGAGCACTCTACCACTGAGCCACCTTCCCAGCCCCGTGTTTCTTTTAATAAAAGAGGATGCAAATGGGTAGACAGTCACAAATGGGGAGTGTTTATATTTCAAACATATTTTGAAATTTATCTTGAGGTTATTGGTGTGGAGATTTTTCTATAATTGTTTGCAGCACCATTTAACTCAGTATTTTGACATCCCATTTCCTCATATTAATTTTGCTTATAAATTGCATTTCTTTAAATCTAAAGATGAAACTACCCTAACTGTTCCAGGGGAGATTTAATATAACTCTGCTTTGAACTAGTCAGAGACAGTTATTTCTGGGAAAAGATGAAGAGTTAAGCAGAGGTGATAATAAACTGGAAACATCCTTTTGGTATTCAAAGACTTCCTGCATGTTGAGTACTGATGTTTTCCAAGGCCAAGTGTAGTTGTTTTTTCAGGTCCTTCATCATTTATATTCTTAACATAAGAATACAGTGTGAACTGGATGCCAGTGGCTCATACCTGTAATCCTAGCTACTCAGGGGGCTAAGATCTGGATTGCAGTTCAAAGCCAGCCCTGTCAGGAAAGTCCCTGAGATTCTTATTTCCAATTAACCACCAGAAAACCGGAAGTGGAGCTGTAGCTGAAGTGGTAGAGCGCTGGCCTTGAGCTGAAGAGCTGAGGGACAGCGCCC